TTTGTTTATAGATCCTGATTTTGGGAATATATACTAGGCATAAATTATAGCATTTCTTATTAGAACACTTGGACATAATTTTACTGCATTGGTCTCTGCGTACATTCAGGTTCCTATTTTCAAGAATTTTTTTTAGTTATTTAGAAATTAATTTACATTTAATGATAATTATTAACTACATTTCACATATTCAAATATTTTATCTGCCATCTGATTACAGGAATGGTAGGTTACATGAGAATGGCTTGTGTAAATCAGCATAAGAATTGAAAATATTTTTAGAGGAATCATATTTGACAAATATAATACCAGAGAATATATTTCCTACACCTAAATTGTGAAAAAATTGTTTGTTTGGAAGGTATAAAGTTAAGAGATTTGTTACAACAAAGGGCAATTTAACTCATGCATATTTAGAAAGTTGCTCTATCAGAACAACTTACAATCACTGCCTTACTAATTTGAGATATATCTGGAGAGAATCTGTAGTTGATTCTTTGTATTACATTTTACATTAATAAACTAATTTTTTGCCCAAGAAATTATGATGTACACCATATCAGTGAAGACACACAAGTTAAATTTACCCAGGTCTACGTTCTATAGACTCAAAGATGAAGACATTTTTCAGTGCTGTCTAAGTTATGTCTGATATATTTCTATTTATTTCTGAGAACAGTAGATGTTACTAATATATTTTACATACATAAACCACTGTTGATGGTGATTTTTTGTTGCCAAACATGCTTGGAATTAACAAGAGACATATACAAACAAAGTTTGGTCATATGTATCTTATGATATTCATGGAGATGTGAATTCAAGTAGCATTCACCAAAGTCACAGGCACTGCAAAGATCAAAAGAGATGGCATCAACTTAACGTTCAGAACAAACTAAAGGAGTAACATAATCAAGATAGATAATTAAATTAGTCTTTGTAGATTCAAATTTAGTGAAACCATTTTGTCAAGGGTTCAATTTAAACTTAATATAATGTGCAGTATGGCCATATGTAATAAATTCAGACACTTCAGAAACATAGCAAAGAATAGAGGTATGTAAAACAGAAGGCTATAAAGTATGGAGGCTGTGAAATTCATTTTCACTATGCATGTTTTAATATTAATGATACTGAGCTTTCTTTACTTTTTATTGCTTCTGGCAAGTCATCATGTAAGTGTGAAGATCCTATTAAATTTCAGAAGGCCACCAGAGTGGATGAGACACATGTTAAATGTAAATAAATGCAGTGGTCTTTGTCTAGCCATGGTGCAAATAAGATTTGTTCTCCTATGTGGCAGTTAATACTGCCATTTTTATGCGCCAAGTACTCACAAAGTGTTCAAATAGAGATGGTTCATATGAACAGACAATCGACTATGGAAATGACTAAGGCACTACTTGCCATGGGTAGTAAATTGTCAGATGACGGAACTCACTTAACAAATGGCAATGTTGAACTTAATCCCTTAAAGCCCAGTGGCAACTATGCATACCACCTGCTCTTACAATTTGTAAGTTTGAATTTTACCGCAGAGAGTATGTATGGGTTTCATATAATTTTATAATTCTCACAGTAAACAGCAATTATTTCAATAAACAGCCTTAACAAATTGATCTTTATAACTGAAAAGTGTTGTGCCATAAAAAAGCTTTCTTCACACAGTACCAAATCAATAATGGCCAAAATATAAAATATTCATTACACAGTATTGCAACCGCAGAGAAGGCATGCACATAGAAACATGTTCGCTTGATCCAAGAATGCACTGAGTAATGGCTCATTTAGTATAGTGTCAAGTGGCAGGGATTTCTATACAGGATAATGAAAAGTCACATCCCATATTATAATATTTGTCCATGGTTACAATTCAGTAAAATAAACACATAATGCCACTGTGATTATACAAGTGCCCATGCAGGTCACATCATGTTGTAACCTGCTTGTGCCAGTCCAACATTTTGTCTTTCAACAGTCAGAGTCCAAGGATGTTATTTTAACAAATGCACTGATTATTCACTGTTGAACACTGCCTGGCATCTCACCTTTACTTAACTTGCCATAATGAGTTTAGGGATACATTTTTCAATTTGCATGTGCCAAAAAGATTGACATTATCTCGTCTGGTAAACTGTTTTCACGACACAGAAGTGCACAGGACAGAAACCATTCTAGTCAACCTTCATTGTTATCATCAATATCCATTAAATTTTGTTGCTCTCCATGAAAGTCATTGGAAAACTTTCTCATTAGAATGGATTATTCTATGGAAGTACATAAGGTTGCAAAGATTTTAAACTTCATTCATATCATGTGCGTGTCCTGAATGAACACATGGAACATGATGAGGAAAAATGACTTCAGTACAGGTAGGCCCCGCTTTACGACACTTCATTTTATGCTGTTTCACATTAATGCCCTTTTAAAATAATAATGAAAATATAGAACAAATATAAGAAGAAAATTTGAAAACGCAAACATAAACGCAGGAAGTGGGTACCTAAGCGGTGCTAGTGTCTGCATCAGTTGCTTTCTCCTTATCTGCCAGACTTGGTATTTAATGTTGATGAAACAGGGCTGTACTGGAAGAAGTTGCCTGGTAGAACGTACATAGCCTGTGAAGAGAGGTCTGCCCCTGGTTTTAAGGCTGTAAAAGATCGGCTTATATAACTTCTGGGTGGTAATGCATCAGTCACTTTTAAGTTAAAGCCGAGGTTGGTGTACCATTCAGAGAATCCACGTGTTATGAAGGGCATTGTGAAGACTCAACTTCCTGTTCTCTGGGGCTCTAATAAGAAGGCCCATCCCATTAACGCCACCCCATTATGCCACTGTCAAAGAACATCAATAAGGGGGCAGCAGTGACATTACTACATACTTCAAAGATGGCTCTAAAGGAACGAATTACTAAGTCAGATTTTAATTTTATTACTTATTTTATCTATAATTATTTTTATCTCATAATTATAAAATAACCACAAATTTTTAATGTAAAACACTTATATTAAGACTCTTATGGTTCAATTTTCGTAGTGATAGAACCTGTCTCATTTAAATACATTATAATTCTTCCTCGATTTACGCCGCTTCAGCTAACGATCCTGAGGAGGTGGAACATAACCCTGGGGCCTACCTGTATTACAAATGGTTTACAACCTTAATTTGAAGGGGAGGTTATAGACATTTTAGATGAAGTTTTCTGCAGTGATAAAGCATGGTTCCACCTAATTTGGTATGTTATTAATCTAAGCAGAATATGGGCTTCTGAAATATGCATATTGTCCATGAAAAACTGTAACACTCCTTACAAGTGAATGTATGGTGTGCTGTCTCTCAACAGAGGATAATTGGTCCATTTGTTGATGAACAAGATTGCTGGTTTCAGTAAGATGGGACCACAGCAAATTTAACAATGCAAATGTTGAACAAGTTCTTTGGTGGTCACATTTTTTGTCAAAACCTGTGTCCTCTTTACTGAATGTTGTGGACAAGTGGTTATCACTCCTGCCTCGTATTTGGGAGATCTAGGGTTCAATCTTCAGCCTGGAGACCGGCTATCTTGATTGAAGTTGATTAGAGTTTAGTAAATATCCATTTTCTATATGTTTGGTTTACATGCCAATGACTGTAAGTCAGGAACATTGATTCTATCAGTATGTAGAGTGTAATATGTTTTATATTGGCAAAAGCTATTTTTTCCAATAGAAATTAAGCAACATTTTTATAAGCCAAATTTTGTATTTACCTTTGGCATTAATTTCATATGGCTAAATGAATAAAACCCTTTGGTTCTTTGCAATAATTTTAATGAGTTACACTGATTAGCTTCTGAACCATTCATATTTATCATATTGGCTCGAGTATAAGCCATGTGCATATATAAGCCACACTTGATTAAAAAATAAAATCTCACTTTCAGCCTCTATAACTTTTTGAATTTTCTCCCTCAGTTACCAGTTAGATTTTAAAACATTGTTTAAGGTAAAAGAATTTTGCTTATAGTGATTTTTGCAATCATTCACACTGTCACAAGCTGTCAGCCAGTCTCACTAAAATTTTTGAGTATATTAGTTGCATTATGTGACAGCAAGAGAGAACACCAGACAAATGAGACAGATTCTGTTGTTATTAATTAGAATAATCTTTAGTTTCATGTGACAAACCACCCACTGCACTACCCAATTGTACAGGAATTCAGAATTTTAATTTCAATACTTATGGAGATTGAAAAGCAAGTAAACAGTAATGTAAAGCTGTCCCACTATACACCATGCAGGTGCGTGGGGGAGAGGAGGTATAGCTCCTATTCATTCTTGACCTCGGCAATAGATGGGGGTGAGTGGTCAGTATCACACCCCTGCTGCGCTTTACCCCGAAGAAAGGACCCCAATACCCTTTGGATAGGAGAACCGGTCTTGATGCAGAAGCTATAGGAAAAATCCTCTACCCCCACCAGGGATCGAACCCCAGTTGTCTAGTCCATAGCCAGTCACTATACTGACTGAGCTATGCCAGTTCCTTAGAAAATCTAGTAGAGGCAATAACAGAATGGGCACACAAGAATTTTTGAGCTATTTTATTACTTCTTAACTTGTTTGGATTATGATATTCTGGGTTGCAACACTGTGTTATCATGTAGGTGGTTAACAGTGTTGTGGAGGAATGTACTGTTTCCAGTTTTTAGGTGGAGGGTAGAAAGTTGAGGCATCATGTTCCTGCAAAATTCAAAATGTAAAGCATCTGTATGATTACATTGTCACTTTCATCACTATGAAAATCTCAAATCTTCACTTAACATTGTTTTAGTTGTTAAGGTACTCTTTTCGTTCATGTTTATGCTAATTGTGTTGGTCATTTGGTATACTTTGACATACAGTTAATTATTCACAGCTCATCACCATTTCCTGTGAAGGATATTTTGTTGGTTAAATAAGTAATTTATTTAAGGACATGTACCTATTGATGGTTGTGTTGAAAGAAAAAATGTTTTTCTGCAGCAATGTCAAGTCTGAAACTTCATGATGACTCCACATCATTGGATAGAGACACTGTTGGACCTCTGCCAGCACCAAACACAATGCCATCACCTTGGGGAGGCACTCACATGCCGTATTCTGGCACTTATCTACCTCACACAGGCACAGGATATGCTCCAATGCCATTTAACTACACAAATGAGCCATCGGTATATGGATATGCACGTGAGGAAAGTGTTCATAGTGGTTCAGGTAAGATAAATTAGATAATTCTAAACTAGTGAAAGCACTTATTTGTTGTTGTTTTTCTTAAAATAAAGTGGACTGAAATTGTTGTAATAAACTTCTGAATATACAGGTTGAATGTTCAGTACCATAAAATTTTTTATGTTCTGCAGTCTTGCACAACCTATTAAAGACTTTTTTGTGCTGGTCTTCTTTAAAGCACTTGGTATGGAAATGTAGCGCTACTGCAGTGTATGCTATACATTGACAGACTAAAATCAGTTGTTGGATTCATTGTGTAAAGCATTTGTAGAAATGTAATGGTGTACAGTCATGTTCAGAAGTGAAGATATGGAATGAACAATAGGAAGCAGGAAAGGAAGGGATGAAGAAAGAGCACCTGCTATAGTACAAAATAAGGACTCATATATCCAAGTAAGATTGTGTAACAGTTGTTGTGGAGGATCACATAACAAAGAATTCAAAGATATTGAATATTCACACTACATAGTTCCATCAGCTTAAGAAAACTGTTAGAAGTACTTCTTCTTGGTCAAGGTTTTTCTTAAAGTATAGTGAAATTGCTTCAGTCATCTATTACTCTTGTTTGTAGTTTATTCCCATAACTGATATATGAAATTTAACAATAAGGTAACCCTGAATTATTGTCACTAATTGTTAAATTCATGTTCTGAAATAAGAAGATTTGAGATTACAAAGTTTTTTCTGTTATTTATCACCATGAAGCTACATAATGATTGCTTTACGTGCTTTAAAGCTGTGTGGTCACCTAGTAACCAAACTAGAAACTTAGAACAGGAAAAATTTTAAGAAATATGAGGATTTTATATTGTAATTATTTCCATCACATTCTTACACTGCAGCACTAGTGTGTGATAAGAGAGAGTGAAAGCTACCAGTTTTGCAAAAAAACTTGTTTGATAGTTTAAACTTATTAAATTTTTGTTTAATTTTCTGTATTACTGTTTCCCTTTTTTGCATCAGATGTTCATTTATTTTCTGCATATGTATGTATAATATTTGCTGAATGCTTTTGATATGAGAGTAACTTCTTTTTAACTTCCATTCAATAACATTTACATATTCCCTTCCAAGGTTTGGGTACTGATTTCCCTGTCCCGAAGCAAATACTTGGATTTCTCTCTGTCTTTGCTTTTTCAGTAACTTATTTCTCACCTGACCACCTTATGAGGGCTGTGCAGGCATATTTTGGTGGTGGGGCTGCCACCTTACATTGTCCAAACTTGCATGGTTTTCTGTTAGAGGGCCTTCCCTTAGATGGGTTGATTTCTCTTTATCTGTTGTATTCTATCTGTTTTCCCTCTAGAACAGTTGCCTTCTCAATGGCTAATGAGCCTGTTTTGCCCTTTGGAGTGCTCTTAGCTTCCCTCTCTCCTCTTACTGGCTGGCAAGCTAAGCTTTTCTAACACAGTCATCTGGGTCTTGCAGAGTACTAAGCCCTCTCACTATAGCAAGGTGTCACTCCTTAGAGAGAGATAATATTTACATTGATTGTAATGTATTAGTAATTAATATTACTACAAGTGTTAATTCAATAGAAAATTGTAGCTTGCTGGTGCGGAATAATTCTTTCTATTAACTAGAGCAAAGCGCTCCTTTCGAAGCTCCTTTCGTCTATCAAGGTCATTCGGCAAAAAAGTGTAACGACGATGGGTCACAAAAATGTGTAAGATCAATATCAACAAATCGACAACAATGGTTACCTAGGAAATGCCATCTGTTTACTCAACATACAATGAAAGGAAGGGGATTAAAACAAGTTGTTGGGGGGGGGGGGGGTTGGTTGTGTTTTAAAATCTTGAGTAAGAAACTAAACTAACACCCCCAAATGGGGGGTTAAAACACTTGACCAACCTCCCCTTTGGGGGGGGTTAGTTTAGTGTCTTACTCAAGTGTTTTAACCCCCTTCCTTTCATTGTATTTATTGCCTAAATATAATTTAAATACAGAGAAGTCAGTTTTCATAATCATAATATATTGAATGAGCAGTATGACTTGAATGAGTAGTATTATTAGTATTAGTTTACCTTGTTGGTGTTGGCACTTCAAATAGTTGATAACGTTTTCTTTCACTTTTTTCATTTCTTAAATAGTTATGATGTTTTAGTTCTTTACGTCGCTGTTCAGAGGCCAACTGTCAGTGAAATCTTCATTTTCAAGAATGCGATGTGCTACTTCTGGAGCAGTGATCATGTGACTGTCTTGGTAGTTGGTGATCTCGTACCTGTGAAGCATTATTTGCTTACTCAGCATTGTTGTGTTGGTATACCAACACAACAGTGCCGAGTAAACAAATAACGTAACATTGTTTGATGACGTCATTTTTTGATAGACGACAAATCACATATTTTTGTATAAGATTACGTTGTATATTAATCATGCATTCAATATCATCAGAAACTTTTTCAAAAATTGTATATGGACAGTGTTTGTGTCCCATTAATTGAGAGATGCGTCCAGTGTATCCACTGTTGGACATTATTTTAACTGCATATAACAAATATACTAATAATTTTTTCACTTGCGTTAATATTTTTAAAAAAAATTCATTGTTGAAGATGTCTGTGTTGTAGGGTGTTGTACTGTATAGTCTGTTAAATGTAGGTAGACATTTCAGAGGCACTTACATTGGTGTAATAAGTATGATGTGTTGATATTTTACAGTCTTTGTGTGTAACTAAGCTTCTTACTTTATGAAGAACAAATCAATTTATGTGCCACACCGTCTTAATAATTTCTTACATTGTACTATGGTAGTTTCATATTTTATAGTCTTTATCTGTAACTAAACAAATTTGTACTTCATCAAGAACAAAATGTTTCCTGTACCATACTGTCTTCATTATGACTCACATTTTGCTTTGACCTAAACACAGCATGCAATTTCTATCACACCTCAGTCCTTTGAAACCTAAAACCCATTTAAGTAATATTTTAAAATTTAGTTCCTTCTTAAGAAAACATTACAAAGACTACTTGGTTAATGGTGTCAAGGGAATTATCTGTTTATTCAGAGAAACAAACAAACCCAAAAATGCGCTGTGGGCAAATGCAGAGGTACTGAACATTAAAGCAAAGTACATTTTAGCTTCGACTGTGCGTTAAAGAGTTAATGAACAAAGGAAAACCAGGATAAAATATGCCAAAAGTGATGACAGATTTGACAGAATCCTGCCTTATCATTTAATACTTGATTGTAAAGGAGTAATTGATGTTTCATGTTTTTTATCCAGGTGGCTCCAGTAATGGTTCAGAACCAGTATGCAAAGAAGCTGGTGCAGACCTGGTAAAGTCAGGTAGTTCAGCAAGCGAGAATGAATTGGTGGGTGGTAGCATTGACAGCGGTGTATTGACAGCTGTAAAGCCATCTGGTGGTCGACGGTCTGGTGGGTCCCGATCACGTTCTAGTGGTTCGGAACAGTCAGTAGCTACAGCTTCTACAGCAGGTCCACAGTCTCAACACCCTCTCCAGCAAACACAGGATCTATCCGGTAGTAGGCAGTCCTTCCGCATCGCCATGGGCAACCCTTGTGAATTCTTTGTTGATGTCATGTAGAGTACTTTTGTTTAGCATTTAGGTGCATTACAACCTAATTTCACTTGTGTCCATATCTTTATGCTGGAACAAACCAGTGTCTGGTGGGACTGTATCCATACCATTCATACAAATAGTTGTGCCAAACATATCCACTTTAATTGCTTTGAGACATCACATTACATCACATTACTTAAAAACTCCAGGTTCATATGTGAACATGTTCTTGGTTGAAAAAATCAAAAAAATCATCAGACTTCTTAATAAGAAAAACTTTTGATTTACATACCAGTTTAATATGTTTATTGAGAACATCAAAGAGGAGGAATACTTTACATTGAGAGATCCATTTGATTCCGGTGGACATTGTAGTTTTATATGCCTTTTCAAAATTGAGAGCGTATAAATTGTTTGTGTAAGTGATGAATGGTTATGAACATCCATAAGAGGATATGTGTCTTACTGCAGTTGGCAGCCCAAGAGACAGGTGACGGTCTGGTGATGGTGACAGGGTTACTCATGACATGTACAATAATTTCTGTGAGGCTGGATCATGTGTAATGGACTAATAACATTGAGAGTTTTAAGTTCATGATTGCAGCCAGTGGTGGTTATAAATTTCAAATCCCATACTTACATGAATATAAGCCATGCATTTTTTCTTCCATATTTCCATCCCCTGAAACTAAAGTGCAGCTTATAATCAGAATTTTTTAATAGCATGATAATTGGTCTTTATCATGGTTGATTAGGAAGTGTTACATTATGGTTATCAACATTGTGAAACAATGCAGATATTTAAATCAGAGCACAGAAACAGCTGTTACCATTGTTACAATTAAACAGGAACTGGTAGAGGGGGTGCAATGATGAAAACTTTTGATTAGCCTAAGTTTATAGCAGTAACCATTTAGAGCAGATGTACAAAATAATGTGTGGGAAAACTGTGTTTTTCCCATTCTTTCAGTTGTTATCTCATGTTTCAATGATTTGAAACTGCTGCACTCAAAATTTGCATAGGTGAACTACATTCTTGCTCGAGGGGGGGGGGGGCATGCACTGCATTCTGGAAACATTATTATTGGCCTAACAAACATTAGTGGAAGTTGATACATGATATCGCTTTCTTTCAGTCTCTGTCTTGTTTTAACAGTTGTCACTTGATATATGCACACAGAATCTGCACAGGTGAGCTACATTGTCACTTGATGGAGTGGTAGATATTATTGTGTTCCAGACTTGTTATTCTTGGATAAACAAATGTAAAGAGCAGTGTGATGGTATTGTTACATGAACCAGTACAGTTCTGATGAATATTGATGGAAGTTTATGTACAATTTTCTTTTTCTTTCTTTTTCTCCTTTTAATGGTTTGTCACCTGCAGTTAACATGTGACTACTGTACTAAGAATTGCATTTATATAGGACTGACAGGCAGTGTATGACAGTACACACAGTGTAATTGGTTGTCGTGAAATCACTACAACCAGAATCTTTTGAACTAAAAAGAGTGTAACTATGACTGGTGCTTGAAGGAAAATTAATTTAAAAACTATGGTGTGGTCTGTAAGAGATTTTATTTTTTTCTTTGGCTTCGTAAGTCAGGTGCAGCTTGTATTCACGTAAATGTGGTATTGTATCCTCTATGACCTGCTCATACATCTTACATTTGAAGATGTCTGTCTTCTGGGTTGTTGTGTCATGTAGTCTGGTAGAAATTTACTGACGTTTTAGAGGTCCTTGCTGCCTCCATCATCACCCTGATAATGGAGACAGCAAGGACCTCTAAAACGTTGGTAAACTTCTACATGACGCAACAATCCAGAAGTCAGACATCTTCAGACCCACTGCTGTGAAAACCTCAAATCCTACATCTACATTTGTCATTCCTTAGAGTAATTATAAACTTGCATAACTTTGAACCTTTGTCCTTAGTTTATATTAAAACTTTGACCAACATAAAACTGGTGGTAACATGTGCATACATATATCCCCAAGTTTTCTTCTTTTTTTAAAGTTTCTTCCTTCATATTTGCTGCTCGGAGACACATTAGTCCTGTAATCAGAATCCTTGCTGGACATAACCCAAGGAAATGGATTGGCCATAGTGACTCTATTCCATGGTCACAAAATTAACCTGACAGTCTCTTGACTTCTTCTTATAGGCTTCATGAAGGCTGCTGTCTGTGTGCCTCCTGAACCAAACAGCACTGAAGCACTGAAGATTTGCTTTACTCAACTATACAGCAAGAGTGTGAGGGCATGTTTAGCAGGATTTGGACTATCATTAGTACATATACCATATTATGAAAGAAGCACATACAGAGCACTTTTTAATGAACTTGCGATGCATTTTTAATTTAGTATGTCTTTCACATTCATACCTCCAATGAAGTTATAATTTTTTTAACTCTTCTATGTGAGTTTATAATTACCCTGTGTACACAGTTCACCACAAATTTCTGTTGTTAAAAATGTATTTCTCTCATACTCAAGATCATATCTTTTATTATCCCTTTAGGTCACTTGTTCTATACCTTGATTTAATAATATTTAAAGTTTAAATTTGAAAGTAAAGTCTTTTCCTTTGTTACAAAATATTAGCAGGCCTGAAATATATATTTGTAAAGTAAAAAAATTCCTTTGTTATAATGTTAATCAAAACTCGCATATATGCAGAAAGGCTTTGTTTTCAAAGAAGTGATTGTATTTTTTGGAGTCATATTTCCATATAATTCCTAACAACCCGTTTGTTACACTGTTTGTATTGATCTCCTCATATGCATGTAACAATGCCATTCTGGATTTTGATCTGAATTGGATAATGTGGTTCCCCATTTTACAGGAAGGCTGTAGTGAAAGTAAAGCTATCCCTGTACCTAAGTAGCATGCCCTAAGAGTGTATAGGAGTTGTGTAGGTAATGCTTCACACATTCTAGTAGAACTTGTCACTAGTTGGAGGTGAGTGATCAGTTTTATTGCTTTGACCACTTAACCCTAGAGAAAGCACTCATAGTTCCCATTAAATTTACATGAATTCCTAAGTCGACACACACACACACACACACAACTTTACTGTAGACAGAATTATACCTTTAAATAAGATGAGTTATTTATTATGTTAATAATCTTCATGTGACATGTTATTTTCAAGATGGTTGCTGTCTATTTCTGCTTAGCTGAATGTATGTACAAGTGAAGCATTTGTCACAGAAATGTTATTTTCATACATTTTCTAAAGTGTCTTTTTACATTGGAAAGGAATTAACTGTAAACATCGTCCCCAATATATGTTCATTATCTCAGATACTTCTTTATCTGTTACATTTCTGGCTTTCAAAAATACACATTTAAACCCTGCCTTATTGAAGAAGGATCCTGATATAAACAGAGGGGTTAAGAATTTATCCTAGCTATGCCACGTGGTTGATAGAGAGGATATCTGACATCATTATTGCACTGATATATATATATATATGAAGTGACAATTAAAAATTCCCAGAATGCCTGTAAAAGCTGTATGTAATTACACACTAATGGTTTGCTGTTACTTTTGAAGTAGTCTTCTTACACATTGATACACTTAGTGAGTCAGTGTTTCCACTGTTCAAAACATTTCTGGAACTCTTCTGGGATACTCTTCAGGATGGTCATCGCATGTCCTTGAATGTCTGAAAGTCTGTGGCCTTTCTAAGCAGCCTTCAGTTTTGGAAATAACTAAAAGTTGTACAGGCCAAATACAGAAAATATGGGTGGTACAATTTCAATATCGATTTTTGGTCAGAAACTACAGGACCAACGAGTATATCATGAGCAAGTGCATTGTTATGATGCAAGATCCAAACATCAGGCCAAAGTTCAGATCTTTTCTGTCAAACTGTCCCATGTAGCCTTGCTAGTATTTCCAAATACTGGTTCACTGTTTGACCTTGTTCCACATTTTCATCTGTCTGGCAAGTTTTTGGATGTCCGGTATTGTCTCTTGTGTCTTCCCATCCCTCTTCTATGCCACTCTGAGACAGCCGACTTTTACATAGCATTAGCACCATGAACCTATGTTAACACGTGCAGAGTTTCTTATGCTTCTCCCTAACTTTTCACAAAACTTGATGTTAATGTGTTACTTCAACAATCTGTCACTAATTTTTCCACCAGGAGAAAAATATCCGCTTGTGTAACTTTGCCACTGATTTTACCCTTATTTGCTTCACCAACACAATATGTAACCACAGGCACATTATAACATGTTGCTGCTTAGTTATTACTCAATCGCTACTTGATGTGACATACATACGGTTATTCCAGGAAATTGTCATATCTCGTACACATGCGCACACATGTGCGTGTGTGTATATATAGACGCATCCTATCTGTGCCAGTTAGGACATGCACGCTTACCTCTATTTGGAATCCTGCAGATGTTAGATGCCTGACATACAACCTTCTCCTTCACTATTCCTAATTGCTGGAGCTGATGTTGAGTAGGATAGACCAAAGCCATGACAAAAATAAATTTTACCCATAATTTCTTGTCATGTATGGATTTTGAAGATTTATGTATGGATTTTGAGTATTTACTGCTGCTTGATGTATTAAAATGGTGCTGTATCATCTGTTTATCTCCACTTTAGTGGTTTTCTTTTTTTATGTTTTGGCGTGGTTGATATTCCAGCCTGGTAGTCCATTATGACAAAGCTATGGATGTAGACTGACTGCAAGTTCAAGATGTGACCATTCACATGTACACGTTTGCATTCTTGCACATGAGGAAGTAAAGAAAAATAATTTTGAAGTTTTATGTAGCTATTTCCAAAATATGCATTTGCTCAGTGATACAAAATGAAGGCCTTATCAGTTATGACAATCCAGAATCATTCTGCACTCAAGTGTCATATGAAAAGAGACCACTTTTGTGGTTAAAATACTGCTAACATTGTGTACAGAATTGTACCTACTGGAATTCTTTTCAACTGATAATGTGTTTTGTCCAGGACGCTAAAAATTAATTAGTGGGGGTGGATTAATAATTTCATAAAAAGTATATTAAATGCAATGCAATGGTCTGTATAATCCTCTGGCCAATATATGACAGAAGTGATTATTAAATAATGGTAGTTACTTGTGAATGTGCTCTAGGTTGATATATGCTGACAGGTCTTATGATGGGCAGAAGGAGTTTGCCTCTCCTGTTTGTTTACATTAAGAGTGTTTGATGGTGAGACAGGGCTTAATACTTCAGCTTTGTGTGATAGGAAATAATAGAGGATTTTATGTTAATAATCACTTGATTATAGGAATACTTGTGGTGTCAGAGATGAGTAGTGGCACAAATAAGACAATGAATGGGAATGATCACAATGTACTCCACCCTCGGACAGCATGGGAAGAAAAGTCATAATTGAATGTAGTTATTCCTGTGGACTTCCTTTGATCTGATAGGGCTTAGGTTTTTCTGTATTAGTAAAAAATAGGTGACTGCCAGCATTTTGTCTTCACAATATCATTCACACATTGCAAATATTTTACTGCTTTGCCTAATTATTGACCTCTCCATTACAAGGAATTTCAGGGAGTAGGCCTTTCCCCATTAAAATCCCTTTTTGGTCTGTTTATTGGCCCTCTCATTTCATTTTGCTTATTGCTCTCTTGGGAATATTTTCTTCCGTCCTTTAATATTTCACCACTATTTATTGAAAATCTGTAGTATCATTACTTCGTAATTCATCTGATATTTTTTTACAGTCCCGCTGATCTCATTCATTCTGATGTTACTTATATTAGAAAATGTTTCAGCAGCTTCAGTTTGCCATTATTTATCTTATCTTTTGCCCAAACTTGTAATCTGTATGAAAAAACAGGTCGTGCCATTATCTTACTGAGCTTTGAGCATGCTTAAGAGTTTTATTTTTTAAGATTCTTTTCTTTGTGCTATCCTCTGGAATTGTATTAATATTTTAAAACCTTTATTGTTTTAAATATGGTATCTGGTATTCTAAATAATGAAACTTGTTTACTTGTTCTGTTGCTTCATTTTCTGTAACTATTATATATTTTGTTCCTTTCAGTAGACATTGCTTGTGTTCTTGTTGTTGACATTTTACAACTTTAATTACATTTTTAGTATATTAATAGACATGTTCTTTTATGTAAGTCACATTTAGTTTTGTAATAAGCCATTGGTCATCTGCAAATAATAGGTTGTTCAGCTGCACACTGTTAATAACATTTTTATCAGTTTTCTTCTGCCAATGACATTGTTGGTGTAAATATTAAAAAGAATATTGAAAGGGAACCTTTTTCTTATGCTTCAGTTACTTTTATCACTTGTATATTTATATGTCAAATGATTACTTGTAATTATTTTGGATTTGTACTACAGAGCATTTTCTGACAAAGTTGAATGCTCATGTCCCTTCATGATTGCCTGCCACCAACAGCTCATCTTCAGCTGAATGCTATCACTTGCTCCTGATATAAGTCTAGAATGACTCACACTGAGTACTTTTTATAAATGCTTCTAAAATTATTCACATGAGTATGCATTTATTTCTGTTTTTGTCTTTGATTGAATAAGGCTGTAATAGTATCAAACAGCATGTTAAATATTGATTGTAATTATGAGTGGATAAGGCTGTAGTAGTGTTGAACAGTATGTCAAGTAGTGCATATTCAGGGCAGTTAAGGTTTGATATAAGTTTAACACTATTTTTTATTAATTGTATGTGAAATGTGGTTCTGTTAGAAAGTGTCTAAGAAAATGTAGTTATAAATTTTTCAGTGGAGCAGTTCCAAACACAACTGGGGCTGTAAATTTATTAATAAGGTTAGGTCTACTGACTGGGTCACTTCTGAACAGTAAACTCATTAGAAGTGGTATGTGCTATCTAAAGAAATGGACAAAATAGGGGCTAGGCTAGATTAACACATTCACCTTAACTTGTGTCATTTGGCTTTTCTTTATGGGTGTTGATTGAAGGATAAAATTGCAAAACAAACCCAAATATGCAATTTTTTAAATATTTTAGAAATTTCAAAGAACTTAGTTTCAACATAACCTTTTTAAACAATGTGTTTGTTGAGCACTTTTTTTCCTCTAGGTAGGTTTCTTTTTGTTCTCCTGGAATGATTCCATTCTCATATCAGGATTAACTTGTAGCACTCAGGCAAAGATAGGCTGTGCTGTGAACTTTGTAAGAAGGCACACTGTAAAAGGTGTGCACTGTTTTTATCAAGTGGTTTGGCAGACCTCTCTTTTTGTAAGTTGTGCCATAACTTCGATGGAATTATTTTATAAAATGCCTTTTCATAATGTACAAATAGTACATGGGTTTCAGAATTACACTGTGCTTATTTTCTCTGTTACCTTTTATAGTAAAGTATTCGGTAGTTTAACAGCCTTTTCTAAAACTATGGTGCTCTTGATAAACACATGTTTTTGTAGTAATTCGAATTTTGCTTGGGACAAGTGCCCTCTTATCTAGGGAGTGGGAACTTTATTTTATTCACATATTGTGTATTTTTTTATATCCATTTTTGTATGTTTTGCAAACTTAAGTCTTGTCGATTGTGATCATCTGGGTTGTTACCTCTTGAGCTCTTATAGATGGTTACCAATGTTTTGGAATCTTGATAACCACCTGCATGACCACGTGGTGTCAAAACCGAGAAGACCATAGTTAACATCTTTACCATTACCAATGTGAGAACCTTGAACTTTGCCTTGTCTAACATGTCGCACATTATTCATTGACTTACACTTTTAAGGTTAAACACCACTAATGCTAAAATTTGCCTGTGGATGTGGTCTTGAGCCAGTTTGATCCACATATTATGGAATGTAATTGGTACAGATGACTTTATAAATGTGAAAGGTCAAGTGGTCCGTTTCACAAGCTAATTTGCATTACTCTGAGGATGACCCCTGGATTACAAAATGTTGATAGTGCATTTCACTAAGTTATGTAGTGCAGTGTGGATTCAAATGTTTTTGTTAATGACAGTATTGGCAATAAGACATATTACTTTGCTTTTCTCTGCTTATTTCATACATGTGCATGTTGTTATTTTTATGCTCATTGATATAAATGTTGCTCTTGGAAGGCATTAGCAGTGTTACACCATTTTTAACACCTGTTGTAGAATTTCAGACTGTGCAAAAAGTAGCACAGATCTGATTTAAAACTTACCAGATTTACATTATCATGATGTTGAACTGTTCATTGTAGTTGCATTGTAAATTGGAAAACACATAAAAAGGTTTAGTGTAATATCTTGGTGCTTGCGTTAGTTCTTCATATTATTATCCACCTCATTAGATACTTGCCTTGTTCTGCAATTGAAACCATTTTCTCTTTCTGGTTAAATGCTGAAGCAGTAAATTGATAATAGTGATAGTGTTATCTGTATGCCCAAAATGAATGCAGCATTTGGTTTTATGATTGAGAGGTCACTTTTAGGCTTGCTTGGTACTATTGGTTTGAATCACTGAAATTAATTATGCTCTGTGCATGATAATGATATTGTCATAAAATTTATTTATCCTATTTTGTTTCTGTGTGTTATTCTTGTTGATTTGTAGTTCTTGTATTGCAGTAATCTTTATGCTATGCTCACTTTGTAGAAACAAATGACAACTAACCACACTTCCAGCATGTAATTATCTGACCTTGAATCGCTGCATGATCAGGCCTCAGCAGTGTTGTCAATCATACAGTAAAATATTCAAATATTGCCCTTACTTTTTGAATCCTCTTCATATTATGACTAATTTGTACTGAATTATGTAATGGTTTTACCCATCCTTAACAAGCAGATTTCTTGGTGTTACCTTGTTATAGACCGTACTTCTTCCTTCCACTTGTCATTTATGAAACATCCACTTGTTTTCAGACAGGATACAGAAATGCTTTGCGCAGAAAACAATATAAACATACTTTTCTAATCTTTCCTAAACAATAACAGATTATGCCATTTTGGAGTACACATGTTTTCCAGTTGCATTCTGTATGATTTTGAAATCCTCATTGGTCTTTACATTAAACCAATCTGATATGAAATTTATTGTTAACTTTATTACTCGACAGTAGTGAGATATGAAGTTACAGACTTCGCTGACATACCTAAATATATGTTGATACCCCATATAATGCATGCAGTTGATGAAACATTGTTACTGAACCGTAGAGTCAAGTAATTTTTAACTTGCATTTCACTAAATATGTATCATATTAAAAAGTGTCAGACTTATAATCTTAAAGAGATCAATGTTCTATTTTGTATACCAATTTTTCTATCATGAGCCATTATGAAGACTTGGCAGTCTCATTTCAGCTTCATGCAGATTTGACAGCTTTCACTGTAATCTCTCCAATACCAAACTTTATTACTGAAATTCAAGGAATAATTTTGGAGATGAAACGTATGAATGACCAGACAGATTAATTTTTCCCATTATGCTTTCATTTTATTCATAATAAGCAAGGAATGCATTCCTTCAATTTCATGATCTGGAGCTGTACATATTTGACTCTCATGTATATCCCATATAAAGTTGAAGTTGTAAGGTGCAGCTACGTCTTTTATTAATTATTGCAAGTCAGGGATGAGCCGGCATAGCTTAGTCAATATAGTGACTAGCTATGGACTGGGGTTCGACCCCTGACAGGGCTGAGGGTTTTTTTCTCTAGCCTCTGCATCCAGACCGGTTCTGGGGCCCACCCAGCCTCCTATCCAATGGGTACCAGGGTCCTTTCCTTGGGGTAAAACATGGCTGGGGCTTGATGCTGACCATCCACCCCCATCTAGTGCCGAGGTCAAGAATGAGTAGGATCTATACCACCTCTCTCCCCTAACATGGCCTATAGTGGGACAGCTTTACTTTACTTTTTATTGCAAGTCAGGGATTTAACAATTTGAAAATGTGTCAAAGTAATGGTATCAATGCGTGTCCATGAAGGATTTGAGGTTTTCATGGTTCTTGCTGGCTCCATCTCATCACCCTGATGATGGAGGCTGCAAGGACCTGAAATGTTGGTAAACTTCCACTAGACTACATGGCATTACAACACAAAGATAGCCATCTTTGTCTGTCCATTTGTTTGTTCCTCTGTAATAACTTCTGAAAAAGTATTGAGTTTCTTCAGAGTTGATGTTGGATAAATTTAAGGTATACTTGTAAGTTGTATTAGTAAAAATTTTGCACATCAATTGGTTACTGAATTATATAATTAATTATTTATAGTTCTTGTTAACCTCACCATATAGGTTGAAGAATTTGAAGGACAGTAAACCTTATATGTTCTGTCCAAAACTTAGTTCTTTTTTAACACACTGTCCACCATATCCTCATGTGTGGTGTTGCTTTGTAATAATCCTTGATGGCTTTACATTATTTTATTCTGGAGTGTTGTCACCAGGAAGTATTAATAGGCCTAGACCATTTTCCGCGTGATAGATCATTTAAGACGTCTGTAATTTCTACCCCTATACAATTTTGGACTTTTGTAGATACCATTTGAATCACAGATTAAATTTCATTACTGTCCTAAAAAATATACTAATCATGAATAATTTTTGTCTTTTAAAATAATGATGTAAGATGAACCATGGAAGAGGTGCATTGTGTAATATTTGGATGTTCATATATAAGTGGTGTCACATGTATGGTTTTTTGTATACTGCATGTTTTTTTAACTGTATCTTATAAATTATTTTCAGCAGTTTCTTGTACTTGGGTACATAGTAACTTGCTTCTTGTAAAGAAATTGATGACAAAGGTTCAACTCTAGTGGGGGTAAAAGTTTTTCTCATTGCTACCTTGTCCAAATTGACTCTGAGTCCAGCCTCTTATCCAGTCAGTAATGGGGATTCTAACTATGGGATGTATGGGGTCATAGTATAAAACT